GTCAACTTGTTGGGAGCTTCAACGTTACCCCCAAAGCCAAGCGTCAATCCAATGATAGGTACGGTTCCAGGGCCTACACTGCCACCAACTCCACTGTTGTTGTTGCCCTCCATGCCAATGTTGTTCCTCCTTCCTATGCACCTGTTGTAAGTGATGTTCCACAAGGTCCGGTTCCTGCCTTGCCTCCTCTCAGCACTGCCCAATATCAATAGTTATTGGGTTTCCTCAATGGTGATGGTAATGGTTCCTTTGCAAATGTAGCAGGTACCATCTCTTCAATGTCATTTCCTCTTTCCCTACTACTTCTTGGATCATTGACAGTGGTGCTTCAGACCACATGACTCATTTCTCTCACATTTTGCCTGACATTATTCATATACCTAATGCTAAACCTGTTAAATTGTCGAATGGTAACACCATGCCAACTTCACAGCATGGCTCTACACATTTGTCATCTGACATCCATCTCAATGACGTTCTCTTTGTCCCATCTTTTTTATTTAATCTCATGTCTGTTAGCAAACTTACTAAACAGTTGAATGGTTATGTCACATTTTCCCTACTTTTTGCATTTTTAAATACCTTCTCACGATGAGGCTGATTGGAATGGGTGAACTACATGATGGGCTTTATCATTTTTCCCTTTCTTCTTCAAATAAACCAGTTGCTTTTCCTGTTGTTCGGGCATCTTGTTTTGAGCTATGGCATAAGCAACTTAGTCATCCTTCTCGCAGTAGTTTATTCGATGAGAGACCAGGGACATACCTGGATTATCTGAGTGATGAAGATAATATGGAGAGGAGTAATCGCCATCAAGATTTGGAGTTTCAACGGTTGGGGTTTCAGTGTGAAGGATGGAGTCCGTTGAATACATGATGAACGAGAAAAAAAAGAAAAGAGAAAGAAAGAAGACGATGTTGCAGGGATGAAGCCGAACTTTATCAACTTTGGTGTAGGACGATTTGTTTATCAACTTTGGTGGAGTAAATAAAGCCCCCAACTTTATCAACTTTAGGGCTTAAGAGCACCTTGGTGCAACAACTTGATAGGAATATGAAGTGCAAAATGACGGAAGGTTTTCAATGACGGAACGTTTTGAATGGAAGCCCCTTGATGGATTTGCTTTGCAAAATATGTAACATGAATATGTCATGCAAAATTGTGACGGGCTTAGAGAATATGCAGCACAAAAAATTGGTACAAGCTCTGCAAAAGCAAACTCGATGGGCTTTTTAGAGCACAAGACGGAAAATTTGCAGAGTAAGAAGATGGAAGCAACTCACCTGGATCGTTGATCGGGAGCAACCCGATAGTAGGGCTCAATAAGTTATTGCTCTGATACCAAGTAAAACTTATTGTTGTGTTTATTTCCATTCAATGGAAGAATAGTATACATTTTACAAAGTAAATCCCTTAAAATTAGGGAAGAGAGTAAAGAGCAACAATATACAAAATAATAGGTCAACTGTGAAACGGTATGTGTTTATCCCATAATACAAACCATGGATAGCACGAATTACTTCGTCTTGGAGAAGTTGCAGGAGGCACAAGCACCATGGCAGATCATTCCAAGCCTCTGTTCGAAAATTGCCCATCGTGTATGTGTCGAGGCTCGCTGCTTCTGTGGCCCTCATGGGCTGGAACTGAATGTGTTTGTGGATTTTAGTAGGGATAATGAAGAGATAGAATCGGTCAAACGTGATTTCCATGAAGCAGAAACTGAGAATGAGGCATTCGAATAGGAGGGAGAATTTATCGGCTAAACTGACGATCCGAAATTTTTTTGAGTGCTTGAGGCCTTCTCACAGGAGGATTGTCCTCCAAGACCAGCAGCTAGGTTGGCAATAGAGTCCTTAGTGACTGCGGTTCTCAAGGTGCGTGAAGAAGTTTTTTGCATTATCTGTATGTTGGAGATCAGTAGTTGCGATAGTGATGCGAGGGTGCTACCCTGCTCTCACATATACCATAAGAGTTGCACATTCAAAGGGTTTGAGCTGAGAAATTCTTGTTTGGTATGCCAACACCAGTTTTCTTGAAAGTGGCCCAGAAAAGACCAAAGAGCGGAGTGTTAAAACAATTTTTTTTCTCTCTTTTCTATTTCACAACATTATGTTATGTTGTAATTATCAATTTTGTTGTGTTTTTTGTGGTGTTTTATATAATATTACACCCCTGTAACTATAATGCTACCTCTGTAACTAGTTTTGTTAATGAAGTTTGAAGCCCGTTAAGCGAAAAAATGGTACCCTTATTAAGATATTTTGCAAAGCAATTTTTTTGCTTTTTATTTTTTATTCTAATATGGAATTTGACTAAGAACAAGATGAATATTGTACGGAAAATTATAAATACCCCCAAATCAACTTTATAAACATCCTAACCCCCAATATGTTTTGTATCATACCCTAAATCCCAATACTATGTTTGAAAAAATTACGAAAAACCCAAGACTACACTTTCTCTATGTAACTTACCCCAATCTAATTTTTTCTCACAATGTTTTCCAAACTTTTTATGCAAATACCCCCCACAAAAAATTAAAATAAAATGCCTAAACTACCATCCCTTACTTTTATCTTACCACGCATGTCTCTCCTCTATCCAACCAAAATAGGGATTCGGCAGTGTATAATTGCCGTCTAGCAGTAATCAGTTTCGGTCGGAAGTTGTCTTAGGGTAGTCCGGCACTTATGTTTGTAGAATAATGGGTCCAAACTAGTAGGTCTGGCACTAGTCTGGCAATAGTTAGTTTCGGTTGGGTAGTTGTCTTAGGATGGTCCGACACTTAAGTTTTTGGAATAATGGGTCCGGCAATGCGATGGTACGCTCTGGTAATGTCAAATCTGGCCAAAATGATTTTGTGTACGGGATAGGCATTTCTGTTTAAAAAAATGATTTTTTCCCCTTGAGGGTATTTGCATAAACGTTGTTTTAGAAAAAAAGTGAGAAAAACTTAGGTTGGTGTAAGTTACATAGAAAGTGTGTTCATGATTTTTGTTTTTGTTGTTTTTTGTTTTTTTAATTTTCCCTACTTTGTATTTAAGGCTTTTAAGCCCCCCAATTAAAAAGTCCATAAAAATGAGACAAAAATACCCTTTTTTTCATCTCTACTTCATGATTTGAAGTCCCATATTTTTTTTTGGGAAAATTACAAAAATCACCCTAAAGTGGACTATCTATGCAACTTACCCCCATCTCAACCCTTTCTCTCACTTTTTTCCTCAAACAACCTTTCCTCGCAAATAACTCCTTAACCCAAAAGTAGCATGAAATAAGACTAAACTTCCTTGTTTGTTTTTACACAGCCTTGTCTTTCATGTTTTCACATGTGCTCTGACAGTACAAACACGCGCTCCAGCATTACGAGAACTAGCACTGGTAGTGCAAAGACGTACTCCAACATTCCGCTCTGGCAATGAAGTCTCTGGAGCCAAAGTGCTCCAGCAATGGATGACCGTGGTCCGACAGTATAAACAAACGCTCTAGCATTCTGAATGTGTACTCTGGCATTATGAGAAAGCGCTCTGGCAATGGAAAGACGTGCTCTGACAATACACTACTTGAGACCCTAGAATTGATTTGGTTTGTATGGGAAGGGCATTTCCATCCAAAAAATAACAACATTTTACCTTTGGGGGTTTTTGCGAGGAAATGTTGTTTTGGGAAAAAAAGTGAGAGAAAAGATTAGGGTGGGGTAAGTTGCATAGACAGTCTATTTTAGGGTGTTTTTTGTAATTTTCCCTCTTTTTTTTTTTTAACACTTTCCCTCTTTCTCTCTCTACCCGCACTCTCTCGTGCTTTCTCTCTACCCGGCCCTCTCTCTCCGGTGCCTCTTTATCTCTCCCTCTACAGGGATAGCGTGCACATGTGGAGGGTTTTTAATGGCCTGCAGATCAGAAATAGGAAATTGGTTTTGAAGAATGTTGTTTATACATGAAGCAAATATGGCAAACTGTGATATGGGAGCTTCTAATCTTCCAATTATTTGATCTCTATGTTTTTTGGATAAGTCATGGAGTCCTTGGATAAGTCATGGATTCCCAAGATTTCACTGTGATCTTCTCAAATAAAAAAAATCGAATGGTACCGACCTTGTAGATGAAAATATTATTCATTTTCGTCTATAAACATTGCGTAGTGGCTTCTATAAAATATATTTACAAAATAGGAAAATCAATTAAGAATGCTCTAAAAATATATCAATGCAAAATAAATAAAAAATTAAAATAAATACTAATAATAATCAATAATAAAGTATTGCAGAGAGACAAGAGGGTGATGAGAAGAGGAAGAGGGAAAGTACGTGAGACGAGGTAGAGGGGAATGTGAGAGGATACATCAAAGGATTTCTCCCTCACACATACTCTCGCATCATGGCATTGAGTCTATCGTGATGCTTTCATGATCATATTACTGTAAATGATTTTTTAATTCAAATAATATAAAAAAATGAAAAAGAAAAAATGATATAGATGAGCATTAGGGGTGTAGTTTGCATACAAATGCATCCGTAGCTATAAAGGTAGGGTGCACTTTCAAATTTTTATATGCTTTTGACGTAAAATGTTCTTAGGATTATCTCAAAATCTATTTTTATAATTAATTATAAAATTTTAAATTTAAAAATAGTTAAAATCAAGTAGATCTATAAATATATGAAAATCTTGAAAATGGACGGTGTAGATAATATGTTGTAAAATGCACTATTTCTGAGATTTAAAATCTTTTTATTTTTCATGGTCATACATCTCAATGTCGAGATGATCAATCAAACGGTTTTTCATCATTTAAACTACATTTTCCGATGGATTTTTGAGGTGCATCCGTAGTTCTACATTATATGAGGTTTTTTAATAAGTAAAAAATAAAATGTTTTTTTATAATTTCTTTTATTTATTTATTTATTTTGTTTAGGTTAGGCCCGGAACGGGCCAGAGGCACTGAAACGGAAAACTGATCTCCGGGAGCTCTTTGCAACGTTTTGTTGGCAATAAGTGAGTGAAAACCAGTATCTTTCCTGAGACTGCGTGGCACATTTGGGTTATGTGAGGAGAGAGAAAGACCTCTCGCACTGTTTGTTCACTGGAGTCATGCGAGCCCTATTCCTGTCCCCATGCTTCTCCTCTCTCCTCTCTCCATGCCGTCCTACTCTCACTCTTAACAAAACCCCAACTTCAAATGCTTCTTCTTCTCATTTACTCTCTCTGGTATTTCTCTACCTCGTAACCTTGAAAACCCATCCATGGATTTCAAAGCCAGATTTTTAAAAAAAAAGAAAAAAAAAAAAACACCATTTGAATTTAGTGTTTGGATGTTCTTTTCCTTTGTTACAGGTAAGAGCTGAAACCTGCCTCTATGGTTCGCCTGTATGCGCTACTGGCCGGAAAGTTGCTTCAATTGAAGAGAAGAGAGAAAAAGAATATGAAGAAGAAGAGGAAGATGAAGAAGAAGAGGGAGAATGGGTGCCTTTTGGAGAGATGAGGAAATGGATGCGTAATAAACCTTCTGGCTTTGGACAAGGTAAGAACTACGATACCAGTCTCGAGGATCGACTGCTTGGAGAGATGGAACAGAGCAGACAGGCACAATTAGCCAATATTGAAAACCTCAAACGCAACCCAATTCCGCCCCCTGGTAAAGAAACTCAACTTCAACACAGTGAGAAGAAACAAGGTATTCCTTTTATCCTCCTTGAACTTCATTATTGTTATAGCAATGGTTGAAGTTGCTGTCCTAGTTTGGTTAATTACAACAAATTTTCATTTCTCCTCCTGGAACTTCAGAATTTTGCACTTAAAAAGGTTTTTTTTGTTTTTTGAGGATATAAAAAGTGATGTTTCTTGGTTGCATTTTGGAAAATCAATGCTATTTTTTTATGTTTTCTTGTGTATAGTCTATGCATTGAATTTTGAATTCCGGGAACCTTAACTGAAAGGTTTAGTGCACTTTATCCTATTGGTTGGATGTATGAGATGAACTGATTTGGATCATGAATTGGACAGCATTCTAAATGCTGATTTAGTCTATTTGAAATAGCTTATTGGTGCACTCCTGATAATTATTTGCCCTTTTTTCGTCATCATGAGAGAATTTCATGATACCCAAAAGGCGCTTGAATTGGTAGTTGTTAAGGGTGGGTAGTTGCTTTAAATTCTGGCTTGGTATTGTGTAACCATATTGGTGCAAAGAGATTGGTTTGTGAAGAGTCAGCTAGATCCTCCATTTGCGGCTATTTTGGTGTCTATACAAGTTTACTAGTTACTTAATAACAGCTTGATAACCTTGACTTCAATCAATTCGAAAATCTTTGAGAGAGGATGATAAGGTGGCTTCATATTCAAACAACAACCTTATTAAGTGTATCTCTTTTAGTAAAATACTTTCCTTACAATATTTATTTAGTGAATATCTTTAATAATATTTCTTTAGTTTGTTGAAATGAAATTAGCAAATCTAACAGGAGCATAAATTGTGAAAAAACAAGAGAAAAGGAGATAACATTAATCTTTTGGCACCCATGAAGTTACCTACCATTTATATCCTTTCAATTGATGCCTTTTTCTTTTCTTTTATTTGATAAACTAGGTTCATTCCTAAAACATCAAAGTGTTAAAAAAAATCACCTTCATCATCATCATAGCCTTTTCCTAATTAATTGGGGTCGGCTACACAAATCTTGGTCTACCATTCTGCTCTTTTAAAGGTCATACCTCAGTGAGGCCATAAGTTCCCATAGCTTTTCAGACTACTTCCAACCATGCTCTTTTGGGCCTGTCCCTTGTCCTTCTCAGTCCTTCCACTTGAACTAACTCACACTTCTTAACAAGTGTTGTACTTGGTCGGCCCCACACATGGCCAACCCACTTAAATCTACTCTCTCATCTTATCGCCTAGTGGTGCCACTCCTAAATTCTCCCGAATGGATTCATTTCGAATTCTATCCTTTCTTGTCTTGCCACTCATCCATCTTAACATCCTTATCTCTGCTACACTCATTCTATATGTATATTATTTTTTATTTGCCTAACATTCCGCCCAATAGAGCAAAGTTGGTCTCACAGTTGTCCTGTAGAACTTGCCCTTCAGCTTAATTGGTATACGGTGATCACATAAAATTCCAATTGCACATCTCCACTTCGCCTACCCAGCTCTAATTCTTTGTGCGACACCTTCCTCAATCTCTTCATTTTTATAGATTATTGGCCCAAAAAATTGAAAGTGCGGTCTTTTTTGTACTTCTTGGCTGTCAATCTTAACTACTTCCTCGTTGCTACTCCTATTAGAACTAAACTTGCATTCCATATACTCTGTCTTAGTGTGGCTAATTTAAAAACCTTTGGATTCTAGAGCATCCCTCAAAAGTTCTAACTTTGTGTTGATGCCGTTTTGGGTCTCATCGATCAAAACTATGCCATCTGTAAACAGCATGCACCACGGTACCTCATCATGTAGGTGCCTAGTTAAGTCGTCCATAACTTAGACAAAGACGTACGGGCTCAATGCTAACCCTTGATGTAGACCTATTGTCACTGAAAACTCACTCATCTCTCTACTAGTTGGGCATACACTAGTTAGCCCTCCATCATACATATTTCTCACCAAGTCGATGTAGTGTCTAGAGACTTCTTTCTTTTCCAACACCTGCCAAATCAAATCTCGAGATACTCTATCATAAGCTTTATTTGGATCAATAAAGACCATATGGAGGCTTTACCATTCGTCCTAAACTTCTCAATTAGTTGCCTAATTAGGAAAATAGCCTCAGTTGTTGACCTTCTTTGCACAAAATCATCTTCCAAGATTTTAATCACTCTCAAAGGCCCATTTTACTTACAAGTCTTATTTATATCTACTCTTCTATGCACAATTCTACAAAACCAAGATGATTATTGCTTGATCACTGCGAGCACCACCTCATGGGTTAAGATCCTTCTCAAAAGTCCTAAAGCAACCTTGCAATTGTATGTCCACCTAATGTTTTCATTGCCATATGTAACCTAACTCTTTATAGTGAACCTCCTGGAGTCCATTTGGAATAGTTATGCGCAAGAAAAGTCAGTAACAGCTTCCACATTGTCTCCATCTATGATTTACTTCCCATTGAGTTTAATCTTCTATTCATTGTTACCATGCCTCTGCGTTTTTGTGTCTTCTTCCACAGGCTTACACCCTTCCAATTGCTGTTCGGTTTGCAAGAACACAACCACTCGTCTTCGCTTCGTTGTAAATGTCAAGGGCTCACATGCTTGTATCGTAACCCCCCTTGAAACAAGCTTCTCTTGAGACCCGTTAAGATTGCTTCAATTAAGCTACTTAATTTTATTTTAAATGCCACGATTTTGTCTTTGCATGAGATTCTAATGGTGTGGCTGATGGCTTGGCTGGGTTCATGTTTATTCCACTTCTATATTTTGGAGTATCATGACCTTGAGCCTCTATTCTTCAAGTTTCTTTGTACTTATTATTTTTATTTCAGTATCAAATCATTGTACTGCAAAAAAAAAATAATTGAATTGGCAATGGTATCCTTTGAGTAAATATATTATGTTTGAATATATGGATATGACCTTTGGGAAACATGAAAGTTTGATACAAACACAATGCCTCCTACATTTTGCATTTTTATTTTAAAGTTATAGTGATCAAATCCACCCTAAGATGCTCACCTAATTGATGAGATCAGCAATTAAAATAAACGCCAAGTTGTGGCTTCTTCCATATGTCATTTTATATGATAACTCAAGAACATTGAAGTTCTATTGTGTCGTTAAAGAAGACTTGTACCTGGTCAAAGTTTCCATCAATGAACTAACATTTTACTCCAAACTATTTTTACTGTGATTGTTACCAGGATGTAGGGAACATTAACTCTATAAATAAAATGGTTAAAAATGTGACTAACTCATGTAGTTGATGGTGTGGGAAGCTTCACTTCACAATTTTCACCAAAACTTCCTATTCTGATTATGAAACTTCTGGTTTGGAACTTATTCTCATCTCAAAGACTCAAACATAGATCTGAAAGGTAGTAAACCGGGAGTCCCTGGGCCTACCTATGTTAAATAAATATGGCCAACTGGATTTCTTATCTTTGTTTGACATTTTTTGAAAAGGTAATCATCTGTCAATACATTGAGATTAGAAACTAGGTATGTCTAATTACTCCCAAAGAGTGCAAACAAAACATAGATTCATGGTGTGGGGAGAAGAGAGAGGTCATTTTTGGGGTAGGCTTGGCCCCACAAAGACCTGATGCCTTCTATTTCCATATTGGCATGCTCCCTCTCCAGTAGTCCATCTGATTACATTTATTCAGTTGCCTTCCACAATGAGCGGTTCATCAACAGCCTGGAGGAAGAGCTTTGATCATGTAAGAAATGCAGACACCTCTGCTTTATTAATATCATGGAAAATGGTTCTAGAAGGGCAAGGCTATTGGTACCAGAGTATAGTTGTTGGGAGCAAGGATGGGAGATTATTGCTTGCCAGAAGTTCCTTAGTTAGGGAGTACTTATACAATAAATATTAAAATGCATAAATATTTCAAAAATAAGATAAACATAGAAAAATAATTGAGTTGATGGTCAAGTTCTTTTTCAAGTTTGATCTAGAATGAAGATCTTCACCTTGTTTAAAACCTAAATGTTGTCTTGTGAGGCATTTTGTATGTCCGACAATGAAGGCCAACAAAGGAGAGAAGGGGTTCTTCCTTGATAGAACTGGTGGAAAAAATACTGAAGAAGACGGGAACTGAGTCCCTAGAAAATGGGAATGTGTTAGCAGTCCCAAACCACGAAACTGTATTCAGGTAGCGGGAGGTTCCAGCTTAGATGGAAGATCTCAGCAATTATGTACTAGAGAGATCCTTGATTAGAATTATAACTCTCCAACAGCTGAATATCTTGGACTTGGAAAGGAGCTATCATTAAAGTTAATTTTCAGTTGTCCTGTAGCAGGCAATTTCCAAGACACATAGATCAAGGCCTCTGTCCAAACTCCAAACTAGAGGCTACAAGTGAATGCCCAGGATGCAACAGAAGAGCTCTTCCCAAGCGAGTGCTCTGGTTGTAATCATATATATGACCCATCCTCCTGCAGTCTTGTTAGTAAATATCTTTTATTGAAAAGTCTTTGTTGTTCGTGAGCAAAATGCCCCAGAAAATGGCCAATCAGTCGTCATACCCTTTTACGATAATGGGTACAAGTTCGTAGAAGCTAACACTTTGGCGGTTGATCGGGACGGATTCCAATTAGCATCAAAAGAATTACGATATTGATTAAAGTCAATCATCAAAATCATTCGATGGAACGTGATTTCATTTATCTATTGTCATGTAAAAATTGAAAGTAGGTTTTCTTTTGAAGGAATATCTGATTATTGTGGTTGATCCAGTGCCATTTTTTTTTTGTGTTTCTTGCTCCGTTCCAGATTTAATTGAAACAATACATTGCAAAGAGATATTGGGGGTTCTTTATCCTTTCCATCTTTCAAATTCAATGACACTTCAAAGTAGGTAATACATCTCACTCATTTTACACTGATGCCTCATGGATGAACATTGTGGTTAAGCCTAAACAGGCTTCTGACAATTTTTCTGATTGAGGGGGGTTTCTAAAGACAATTCATTTTTTTTTATTTTTTTTATTTTTATTTGTGTGCCGTCATTAACACTTGTAAGTTATATTTCTTAACTCACTCAAGCGCACAATAATTCCTTGAACATTTTCCCTCTGAGACATAATTTGAAGTTGTGATTCTCGATTGCCAAATATGCATTTGGAGAATATTTAGTTTCATATCGTTTTTTAATTTATCTAGTTTACCCAGAATGGTGGTGTTGTATGTATGCCTTACATTTCAATCATGGATGAATGAAAGGATTCCATTCATTATTCTTTCCTTATTGCTTTGGGACATTTTTTATTTTGTTCTTTGAGCCCTGGTACCTAATATTGCATTATTTTGCATGCATTTCTAGAAATAATCCAAGGAAGTGTACAAGTGCGTGTTGGGAACCTTCCAAAAAAGAAGAACATTCATAGAGATCTGCAATCAGCTTTTAAAGGATTTCCAGGGCTCCTTCATATCAGCCCAGCAGTTTCTGGAAATAAAAAGACAAGGGACCCTGTTTGCAAGGGATTTGCCGTTCTTGATCTACAATCAGAGGAGGCAGCGAAGAGGTGAGACTTTATCTTTGATACACCTATGGGTAAACACTCCATAGCTCATGAAATACAAGTGTCACTGTTCTTTGTGTGCAGGAATATGGCATATTTCATTTAGTCTGCACACTTATTAGTTTCCTGAACTTCTTTTTTCCCATATGAGTAGGGAAGGAAGGTTTCAGACGGAAGTCTGAGATAGCTTTTCTCATAGAAGTTCTTATTTCTGATTAGAGTGTTAATGTGTGCGTGTGCATATGAGAGAGAGAGAGAGAGAGAGAGAGAGAGAGAGAGAGAGAGAGAGAGAGTATTGAC